AGGTGGCATCATAGGCGGCATCTGAGGCTGGCTCATAGGTGGCATCATAGGCGGCATCTGAGGCTGGCTCATAGGTGGCATCATAGGCGGCATCTGAGGCTGGCTCATAGGTTTCACCATTGGGAGTCCTGTAGGTGTCATACATAACCCTGGCACCTTGCCTGCAGCATCACCTGGAAAAAATGACTGAGTATTGGATGACTCACTATGGAAACCCATCTGTTTCATTAATTCCTCAACTCGAAACATCGGGTTACATGTTACATTGGATGGTGGAACTGAAATAGTTTGCTGCGGTTGAAATTCTTTCCTGTTCTCTTCAGCTGGTTCTTCAGGATTGTATACACGCACCTCAAGAGGATCTTCAGTGTATCCATACCTGCTTGTATGCCCATAATCAATCACTTTGCTCTTAACAGTTGAACCACTCGTTCCACCAACTGTTTCTTTTTCTCTGCTCTGAGAATGTAAATTGGGTAACTGATGACCCATTTTACGCATTCGTATATCCCTCAAAATTAGCGGCATGTTTTCAGGTGTTAACTGATCATCTGGGTAGCGACTGAGTTCCTCCAGATCTTCATTAGATAATCCAAAACTTGCTAAAATACTTGATGCACTCTCTGTTGTATAACGGCTCTGGACATTTGTATTCTGCTCTGTGATCCGGGTTGACACAGGGTGCTTCCGGCCTGTGTTTCCAGTTGGACATGGATTGTTATCCCAACGTGAAGTACGAACCTTTTCCTTTTGCTCTTCCTGTAAGTCTGCCATCTCCTTTGCTTGCCTTGGATCGGTTCTGTGTTGAGTTACCTGAACATTAGTTCTTCGTGATCCTGTCCGCTGTAAATTTTCATGTCCTCCAAATCTTTGTGAAATTCCTTGAGGTGTTCCAGGTGCAGGCTTTCTTTGAAGACCTGGTATGCCACCTCCCCTAAAAGCTCCTGGAGGTTTTGAGCCAGATGGGTTAGGTGCTCTTGGCCTTTGATGCAAGTTTCCTCTGGGATTAAACATGGCGATTTTCAGGAATGCCTGATTTAACAAAGTATAAGGTGGTGTAGAATTGTTTGAGGCAGCTGATGTCAACTGCTGAAGAGCCAACTGCGTCTTAATTTGAGCAAGCTGTAAAGGAGGAGGGCCCAACAGAAGTGGACTTACAATGCCAAGGTTCAGGGAATTCACAAATGGTGCGAAACTTTCCAAGAACAACACAAAGCTGAAAGTTAAAACACAAATATTGTATTATTTTCTTTTCAACTACTTTGTGCAGTGGATTCCACAATGCAAGAAAAACATTTTTTAAAAGTCATGAAGCAGTATTTTAATGTCATAGTTTAAAATAAATATATATATATATATATATATATATATATATATATATACACACACACACACACACACACTAGAAGGTAGAGTTTTGTGAACAACAAAGTCAAATCTCTTGCTGTAAGAATTCTCATCTATTCCACAGGGCAATTTGTAGTTAAGTGTATTTTGCCAAACACCCACGATTATTATGTTTTAGATGAGACAAAGACATCCAGCTGTTGTCTTCTCCTCAGCAGCATCTTCTGAACAATGAGTTCTAGATCTTCAAAGAAACCTCTTCAAAGCCACTGTAAATTACTTCACAAAATAGTATGAGCAAATTTTAAAATCCTTTACAAAACACAGGAAAATGTATGTTACATCCAAATATATTCTGTTAAGAAAATAATTACAAAACTACTGGAAAGAAACATAATTGTAAATGAGAACCTTATTTATGTAGGGTACATTTTTTTTTTTTAAAACAATGTGATCAATTCACCCATGAAGTTATAATGCTCTTATCTGGGCGTAGTTTCATAGGTTTTCAATGTGAATACCAGTGTAACTGTTCCCATGATTAAGGTACTATACCAAAACCCCATTTAAGGGATGTGACAAGTGAATATTTGTATTCTGTGTTCAGAAAATTTCAATTTTTCACATATTACAGGTAAGAACCTGTACTGATTGTGTACCTGTACAAATAAAGACCATCTCACTCATCTCAAAGGTGAAGCTACTTAAGGCAAGAGCAAAAAATTAGCACGACAATGAACTCTTCTTTACGAACAGTAAGCTTTTTCAATTCCAGATGAAGGCACAGACAAGTGAATCCTTCAAGATGACAGAGGCACCTACGAATAAGAATAGAGTACAGTCAAAAGTTGCCCAAACTAACCATAAAAATGAACAGCTGCAACTTGGCTCACATTCTTGGGAATAAGGAGTTACAAAATTTGGGAGGTCTTTTGAAGCTTGGAGCCTGAACTGCACAGTTCTGTCTGTACTTACAAGTACATCAGCTACTATATTGTAAAGAAGCTAGATCAGACTACAACTTCCTGAAACTGGTTGTTCTCTTAGTTTCATTTTTTCTGCAGTAGTTTGGGCTTCAGCATGAGGTGTTATAGAAGAAATCTCATTGAGAATCCTTCTAAAACACAGCCTGTAACTTCCTTTCCAGTCATTCTCAACTTTCCAAACCAAACTTCTTTAACAGAGTTGAAGTACTTGTCTCACCACAGCTAAATCCATAGCTGGTTTGAAGTTTAAAAGCATCCTATTTGAGTTGAGCAAAACAAACATTTTTCTAAAAGGGAAGTGCCTCTCCTTCATGCTTGCAATTTAAAAATGGCTCTGCTGATTTACTTCCCTGGGAAATTTCAGCTCAAAAGGCAAATGTTTGACAAAGCTATGAATGGAAATATCAGAGAGGTAAAGAATAGAGTGGTGCTTTCCAGAGGTTTTTTTCCAAGTGCTTTCAGTAGTTTTGATGTCAGTCAGGCAAAGGAAACGAAGAGCTCATCTTTAGGATATAAAAGAACGAACTAGCGAACAGGAGCGGCTAACAGGAGAGTTTTGTGAGGGAGTTCTCCAGGTGAAGGAGGACGGATTAGGTTACCCTTGGGGTAAGTTTGTTGTCTGTAGTGTCTGTGTTTGTGGTGTACATGCTGCCTGAAATATACCCTGTGGTCTGTTTGGGGGACCGTGTTTGTGCTGAGCCTAGCAACCTGCTAGGCAAGGCTGAGAACTTCTTGGCTAGGCTTTGATCCCTAAGCCCTTTAGCACCCATCAACCCTTAATCAGGAGGCGGGGCTACTCAGGAAGACCAGGGCTTTAAAAAGCCACCTCCTAAGGGGCCAGAGGAGCTAGGGAACAGGAGCGGCTAACAGGGTAGTTTTGCGAGGGAGTTCTCCAGAAGGAGTGTGAGGGGGGCTAGATACACTTAACATTCCTTAAACTTTAAAAACTTAAAGCCAAAAACACCCCCAGATTAAAACAAAAGAACAACAAAGGAACCAGCTTCAGGAGTAAAAAGAGAATGTAGGCAGAAGTCAAGGAACAGAGTGGGGGCTATCCAGTTTATTGCACCCAATGCAACATGTCTGATTACCTGCCCTATGGGCAGGTGATGTATGTGTGCATTTGGTGCAAGGAGCTCCTGGCCCTCAGAGACCGTGTACAGGCTTTGGAGACCAGAGTGGCTGAACTGGAGGAGCTAAGCAAGATAGAGAGGTACATAGATGAGACTTTCTGGAACGCAGAAGAACGGTCCCACCCCGAGTCTGACAGCCTCTGTGCTGTTGAGGGGGATGAAAGTCTCGGGGAAGGAGAACATCGAACTGGAGCACAGGGAAATGATCCCATAGTTAGGACCCTCCTTCCACATGCTGTCGTGGTATAGAATCATAGAACTGGAAGGGACCTTGAGAGGTCATCTAGTCCCCTGCACTCAGGGCAGGACTAAGTATTATCTAGAGTAGACCATCCCTGACAGGTGTTTGTCCAACCTGCTCTTAAACATCTCCAATGAGAGAGATTCCACAACCTCTCTGGGCAATTTATTCCAGTGCTTAACCACCCTGACAGTTAGGAAGTTTTTCCTAATGTCCAACCTAAACCACCCTTGCTGCAATTTAAGCCCATTGCTTCTTGTCCGATCCTCAGAAATTAAGAACTTTTCTCCCTCCTCCTTGCAACAACCTTTTATGTACTTGAAAACTGTTATGTCCCCTCTCAGTCTTCTCATTTCCAGACTAAACCCAATTTTTTCAATCTTCCCTCATAGGTCATGTTTTCTAGACCTTTAATCATTTTTGTTGCTCTTCTCTGGATTTTCTCCAATTTCTCCACATTTCCTGAAATGTGGCGCCCAGAATGGGATACAATACTCCAGGTGAGGCCTAATCAGCGCGGAGTAGAGCAGAAGAATTACTTCTCGTGTCTTGCTTACAACATTCCTGCTAATATATCCCAGAATGATGTTTGCTTTTTTTGCAACTGTGTTACACCGCTGACTCATCTTTAGCTTGTGATCCACTATGACCCCCAGATCCCTTTTCGCAGTACTCCTTCCTAGGCAAGTATCAGAGGGGTAGCCGTGTTAGTCTGAATCTGTAAAAAGCAACAGAGGGTCCTGTGGCACCTTTGAGACTAACAGAAGTATTGGGAGCATAAGCTTTCGTGGGTAAGAACCTCACTTCTTGCATCTGAAGAAGTGAGGTTCTTACCCACGAAAGCTTATG